TGTGTGTGTGTGTGTGTGTGTGTGTGTGTGTGTGTGTGTGTGTTCCCTTGGTCCACAAAGTTTTTTGAATGGTTTATGGCATAATGCGTGTAAGAAAGTTCTCCGACGTCTCTGTAGGCTCCCCAAGAATCACTACTGTAAATAATAGACCCAGGCACAGTGCATTTTTTAATAATAAGAATCAAAGTATTCTTGTCACGTCTATCGTCTTCTCCGGTCAAAGCGACCACAAAACTTCGCGTTGACACACGCTCAATGCTTCCAAAAAGCCAAATCTGGTTCAAGACACGACCCGCTTGTAATTTCTCCTCACAATTAGTGTCTCGTCGATCTCTACTTCCACACAGCACTACCACCTATGGGCTTCTGATTGTTCAACCACTCCTCTGTCACCCCCCTACAAAAAAGACTCGCCAGTCCACAGTAGAATGGGCCGAAAGACCAAAACATTCTGGCACATTTTTGTGGTCCCACGAACGACTGAGAAAATGACTGACAAATAACTCTATTTTCCACGCAGGAATAGAGCAATTATTTAAGAAAGAACCCTTGTCGGAAACACTGAAACTACAATGCCTCCTCTTTTTTTTGTCTTAGGAATCATGAAACTGTTCCTGCAGCGCCATACACACTTATCCTCAAGAAATAAGCACTGCATATTACACTTCGGGCACACTACCTACTTCGGCAAAACACCATGCAAACGTAAAATATCACGGCTTTTCTGGTGGTCTTCGTAGAATCTTGAGATGGCTGAGAAATAATTGAAGGTGCACGACTGGCACGAATCCATGACATGACAGAGATCTAACCGAACCAACCCTAACGACGAGCGGCGCGAGAATGACGTTTTGACGAGAAGATGTCAAACAGAGAGAGGTATTAGGTCTAATGATGTAAGCAAAGCGCAGCAGACAGTAGGCACAGTGAAATTTGTATGCGCATTAATTAATATGCAAAACGGTTAAAAGTCGCGTGCGCGTGCGCATTCAAAATGGTTAGATGGCGCGTGCACATAGTCTGTGACATGTGACTCGCCGTGCAATCACATCACTCTTTCACCACTGTATCAGTACGCCAAGTTCGTGAAAATATACATACAATATAGGTATCAATATCTCGCAAACGGGACTTTTGCGATCAGTGGCGAAGCGTCTATATAATCAAATAACTTTAATAAATAAAGTAACTTTGAATATCTGCCCAAGACAAACTTTCTAAAAAAGGCGGAAATAATGCTTAAGGACCATAGCAACCCACTGACATCGGAATTTCAACTATCGACCCGCAGTAAACGATACATTTCCAAAAAAGCAAGAACAGACAGATATAGAAATTCATTCGTACCAACTGCAGTGAGGTTACCGAACACACAGTGCTACAAATGAAACAGAGAGAGAGAGAGAGAGAGAGAGAGAGAGAGAGAGAGAGAGAGAGAGAGAATGAATGTTTTACGGAGCGGGTTGTCCCAGCCCGTGAGACATGTATTTACTTGGCCTAATGTCCTATCTTGTTGTGCGTTTGCGTGAGTGCACCTTTAAGTCTAACTTTTGTAACGTCTACTGCCATTGTTAACGACCAAGACTAATTTCTCCATGCGAGATGAATAAAGATTGTCATTGTCGTCATTGTCATTGTCATTGTAATCACTGCTTCCCTCCCTAATTTTGAAACATTGTCGCTGTCAAATTCACCATAAACGTAAACCTCATAAATTAAATGTAAAAAGACGTTCATAAACAACAATGAACAGTATGCCTAACATTCAAAACGGTTTCACAGCCACAGAAATAGCCTGCTCACTCCTCTCGGGCCACTCCATAAGCAGTCGCAAGCTTTGATTAAGTAAGCTTAAAGTGAGGCTGGAAGAGTCTACCAATAGAGTTGAAGGGATCACGAGCATAGCAGTCAAAACTGTTTCATTGCCACATATACCCTGTTCACCCCTTTGGGGCCACAGTTATAAGCAATCACAAGCCCTGATTATGTAAGCTAACTAACACTGGTCGAGTCTACCTCACAAATGTGAGGGGAACTAACTCCTAATAATCTCTTGCCTGCTGCAAGTGCTTGTTTTTTTTCCTCGACTTTTTACCGTCCTATAATCACATCAAGACCTCGATTATGACTCCAGCTCCTGGCCGCGAAAGGCTAGACAAAAACAGCCAAATGTGAAATTTAAAAAATGATAATTGTCATGTTATACCAAAGAGTTAAATTCACTGGTAGATCTATAACATATAGATCTAGTACTGACATCTCTACTTCTTTGCTTTGTGTTTGTGTATTCACATCTAAAGTTAAATTAAATTTTAGTTGGAATTGATATTTAATAAGATACTTTCTCGATTATTTTGGCGGTTGAACATACAATATGCATTCCGGATTTGTTTTCATTCACAACTCAGAGTCGCCGCCTCGAGTAAGATTCTTGTGTGATGTCCACAGGCCATATCTGGTCCCGTTTCACTTTGATTACCCAGTCGAACAAGTCAGCCTTCGCCCCTGTTTGCGATAGTTTTGAATGTCTTATTCGTTTATAACGCATCCTAAAACTTACCCAAAAAAACATTAACAAAGTAGTCATAATAAGTTGAGTCCAATTCTGCAATAATACCAATTTTTGTGTAGATTTTAATTAAAATTTCGGAACAGCGTATTTTTTAAATGGTTACGCTGACAAAATTCCTCTTCAGGTTGAAGGGGAGATTTTTCTTCTTTTAATTTGGCTTTAGAATGAGAGACAAGCGGTCATTAAAATAAAATAAGCCCAAAAACTCCGCACTGAGCGAACCGGAATAGCTGATGCGCAAGGGGGTGCTATTCCTATTCTTTTTCTGGAGAAACAAAAGAGAGCTTCAAAACAAAGACTGCAGCGACATCGTAATCAATGCACGGACTTCCGCAAACATTTTTTACCCGAGTGAACTGTCTTGTTATGTACAATCTTTGTTTTATGGGGGGGGGGGGGGGAGGTTATTGATTATCTCCGTTTGTCTTGCTGGGATGCTGTTTCCCACGAACCCAGATTGCTCTTTCAGTAAGGTTCGAAGCAGCTCGCCTTCAATATAGTCTAAACTGCTTCGTTTGAGGAGTAAAACGTTCACAAGCAAACGAGATGTTAAGTGCTCTACTTTTGATCTGCCCTATGACTTCAGTTTACATACTTATGGCATTCTTAAAATATCACAATTATAATGCTTGGAGGTGCTATTGCTTTGAGACAGTGCGAGTATACGCTATGAAAATAAAAGGTGGGGGGGTAGGTTTTTTTCCAAATTGGAAAAAGGTGAGAGGCAGAAGATGGAGAAATTGATCTCTGTAAATGATATTCTCACTGCTCACTGCTTTCTTTCTTTCCAACAATTTACTTCTACTATTGTGCCACGTGTTTTAGTTTCAAAAACAGCCTTCGAACGTCATGTGGTGCGTTTTAAAATTTAAAACCAAAAGTAGAGTGGAGAAATAATACATGTATGTTGGTTTTCACGGGTTGGTTGGAGGTGGTTGGTGGGCGCTACTGGTAGGTAGGCTTCTGTATCTTAACTTTCCGTCTGTTGTATCTGTCTGTCTGTTTTGTGTTTGCCCTGATCTAAATCATCGTTGGCGTGTTGACGTGCTTCTCTTTACTGACAACTCAAACAAAACAAGAAAAGTAACGCTCGGTTGGCATTTTTTTTTCTGAGCTTTGGAGCAATAGACTCTGGTTCAAACTGAGTGTCGAATAGGTCGTTTTTCCCAAACAATAGCTTGTGCCTAATTTTACTTTCCAATAACATACACAATATGCTGAACGGACAGCAAATAGGTGATTAGCGACTGCTCTGATGTGGTTTGCTCCTTCTTTCCTATCAAAGATCTGTCATCTAAATCTCTCCTTCTTTTCTGTGTATCCTGATCTTTAGCTCGAACGCCTCTAATCTTTGGCACCGTTATGACCAATTGTGAGGCAGCGTGGTGGAATCAGGCTCTCGTCAAAATAATCAAAATGAAGAAACTTGCATTTTTCCGCAGGTTTGTGAATTTTTATTAAATTTTTGTTTTTTGGCTCAACACCTTTCATGCCCATTAAAGATTTTTCGGAAAAACGTTGATCAAAGACACAGAAAATGTAAATTTTCAGTTACCACGGACTCTTAAGCTAAGGAACTAACTAACCTTTAGCGGTCATTGTGTCACTAATTTTACTTCTGAAAACTGGTGACCCCCACCTCCTTCTTTCGTAAATATTTCAACTTATATTCAAGATAAAGGGATACTTAATTCATCAAAATAAGGACAAGTGAACAAGCTTTAAGATGATACCAATAACTCTACATGCCTAAAAATTGACGAGAGCCTGATTCTACCACGCTGCCTCACAATTTGTTTTGCAAGTGTCGTAAAACTCTTAATACCCCCCCAACCCCCCCCCCCCAAAAAAAACAACCTCGCCAGCCTTATCTCTCATCCTTCTTTTCTTTGTACGCTGATATACTGATCTCTAGTACTCACACATCTAATCTTCGGCACATAATATACAACCAATTTGTGCTGCAAGTGTCGTAAAACTCTTACCAGAATTATCCCCCCGCCCCCTAAAGAAAAGAAAATGACGAAGAGCAAACCATGAGCGGGGGAAAAGGCTAACAGTGTTAACGCTTTTGCCTTTTCAGAAACCCAGAACTGACAGGGCCACAAGATTCTCGTTCAAAAAGGTTCCCATGTGTTATTCCAGAGCAACAGTGGGGAAGCATTAATGAATTAGTTTCTTGAATAGTCATTGCTCGATATCTTTGACAGCTCCACGAGATATGGCTGAGGTATTCCTTGCAGTCGCTATTACCCTCACCTCGCTATCGGTCCCTGCGTCCAGGGCCAGAAAATGCAGCCAATTGGAGAGGCGGGTCTTCTTTGCAAAGACTGACTACGTCATATCCTTTTGGGACGCCCATGAACGGTGCGCTGAGCTCGGAGGCAACATGGCAGATTTCAGCAGTTGGACAAAGAATCCAAAAGAGCGAATGAGCTGGATGAGAAACATATCTGATACGTTCATAATGGGTGGCAGAGCCTTCGGGAACAACAACATTCTCCGCTGGTACGCGGGTTTTAAAGTGCCATCAAAGAAACCATTTCCGTGGGGACATGGGGAACCAAAGTCAACATCTGACCATAAATGCATTTTCATGAACAACGGGATCGTGCGAACTGGTAAATGCCACAGCTGGAAGACCAACTCCGTACGTGGGCTATGTCAGCTTACAGACTCTGAGAAGAAATACCAGAATGCCAAGTGCACGCTATGTTTGTGTCCTGGGGCAGAGAGGCCTTTGTGCAAGAACGGTAGATGTGATCTGCCGTGTGTGGAACTTGTAGAGGGCGACAGTTGTCTTAGGTATCCCTGCAAGAAGTTTGAGTAAGTATCATCATCATCATCATCGTCATCATCATCATCATCATCATCATCATCATCATCATCATCATCATCATCATCATCATCATCATTGTAGGTAGCAGGGAATAAAAAAGGGGTTGAGACTTACTAGATTTTTCAAATTTAATACAAGTTCAACGTTTCGCCCTGTAAAGGGCTTCGTCAGGAACACGATTTAAAATAATCATCCTCATCATCATCATCCTCATCATCATCATCATCATCATCATCATCATCATCATCATCATCATCATCATC